CAACTTTATGCTTCTATAATAGTTTTATCCATCAGTTACTGCTGACATGATGCAACAGTAACTGATGGCCACAAGCTTCACTTCAAATTTTTAGAAGTTTTTATCTTAATCGGGGTTTTTCCCAACTAATGTAGATGTGTTATAATCATTCAAGGGCTTGTACTATATATGATTTTAATGTTCAAAGATCACTACAAGAAAATGATGAAATTCCAATGGAAAATTCCAACAGAAATATATTTCAATGGAATTTCAATGCTATTATTTTCGTTAGAATTTTGCAATGGATTCCAACAGAAATTCTAATAAAAATATTCCGTTGGAATGAGTTTTCCATTGGAATTTGCATTGAATTTTGACGATTGCAACGGTAGATTTTCCAACAGGGGTGGAAATAAAAATTCCAACGAAAATTGTGTATTCCAACGGAAATTCCTACGATAAAAAACCGTTGAAAAAGTAGCCGTTGAAATCATGAAATTCCATATAAAATTCCAATGAAAAACTCATTCCAACAGAATATTTTTGTTGGAATGTATTCCAACGGAAGCTATAGCATTGAAATATCCGTTGGAATTTCCATTGAAATATATTTACCCTAGAATTTTTTTGTTGGAATATAACATTTTTTTTTGCAGTGTATCTTATTTATTATATGTGGTGTGAGTGATTATTTTACTCTTATTATAATTTTATTATTACAATTATATCATAAGAAACTTTTTTTTAAGTAAGAGTTTTAATTAATTAAATGGAAATCATAGTAAAATAATATTATCGCGATTCTTTCTTTTCCTTCAGATTTTTAACACGTTAATTGTTTGTTTATACAGATTTCATTTCGAAGTAAAAGGAGAAAATGTAGCAAGAACGAAAAAAGACCTAAGACACAAAACACATCCGTAGCTTAGCACGCAACTTTCTACCGCATATATATGGAAAAATACTAATAACTAATAAGTGCTTTGAAGTTTCGTGTTAGGTAGGGCAGGTGGGTTTGATTGTGATCAAACATTTATTGGTTCCAAATCATAGATATGTATTCTTTGTAATTATCCAAGTACAACGAAAAACAAGAGTTTGGTCATGAACTTATTTTAAAGTTTTGTGGGATCGAAAAAATTGTCAGATGGAGAAAATTTCAAAATTAGTCCTATAATTTGACCACTGTCCAAAAAACTACCCCGATATTGACCACTTTCAATTTAAGTCCTATAATTTGTCGATTTCATCAATTTTGATCCTTTTTTATTCGCACCCTGGATTAAAAAGTGACGTGGCATGAAAAAAAGACCAAAATTGATGAAATCGTCAAATTATAGGACCAAAATTGACGTGCCACGTAGATCATAATCACGCCATGTAACATTGAAAAACTGACACGTCATGCCACGTCATTTTGTAATACGGGGGCGGATAAAAAAGGATCAAAATTGATGAAATCGACAAATTATAGAACCTAAATTGAAAGTGGTCAATATCGGGGTGATTGTTTGGATAGTGACCAAGTTATAGGACCAATTTTGAAATTTTGCCCAAAATTGGGTATGATCATGACGTTTTTGCATATATAATTTGGATTATGTATATTCCTGTGAACCCAACTGATTGCTTCGAAGATTGTTGCCAAAGAACATGGGATATTTAATTGGCTAGTTGCGTCGGCTCCATAAACTAGTTGATGTGAAAGCCATTCGTTACATTTACAGATTCATGCATGTAAATTATCCAATGACATTTATAATAACCATTGGAATTGAGTATCATCAAATAAACTTCAAATATCATAACTACAATATTCAAGGATTATGAATGAAGGTTATATTATATTTAATTCTATCATTATAATATATTAACTTTTGGGATAATATGATATAAAATTAATTATTTAATATGACAAAAAATTCAAATATTATCCCAAAAGTTAATTATTTTTAACTATGATGAATATTTTTATGATCCCGTCTAAATTACGTCTAATCACTCTAGGTGTCAGACTAGTGTCTTTCTGAGTGTGTTAACGAATTTTAGAAAATTGATATTAATTAGCTTACTGTAATAAGAGACTAATGTATCCCATTTAATGAATATGTGATAGTTTGATTATAATAAAATGGAGTAAAAAAATCAAGTTATGATCTCTAATACCATGTCATTATTAAATCAAAATTTTCATTCACAAAACTGGGAGTAAGATGATGAGAGGAAGGATTGAGAGAAAAAAAAGAAACTCGTATCTACAATTGTGAGTATGAAAAATTAGCGTACAGGATGTTTTAATTTATCTATATCTATCTATCTATATATATATAAAGAGGGAGTTGATGGAATTTATTGCTATAAAGATGATATGCAATGACTATAATTGGCAACATTTCTACATTTGGTTGTATAATTGTAAGTTTAATTATTTTTGCATTTGTCAATAATACTTTAGATCCGTGTTTCTATTTGCACTTTCTATTAAGTTAACTAAATTAGTATCTAATTAATAATTCAAATTAATATAGAATCTACATTAATATTTATGCGACTTACTATTCAGCTACCTTTGAAGTTCCTAAAAGGTATTGATTGAGAATTTTAAGTAAAAAATCTATATAAAAATAATAATAAATTTCTGTTTCAATTTTTCTAAAAATAAAAAATCAATTTTAAGTATGAGAATCATTCTGATATTTAATAATGCATAAAAATATATATTTAATAATACATAAAAATATATATACCACCAATTAAGATAATGACACCCAATGATACCATAAATATACGAACCTATAATTTTACCATAAATCTATATCTATATCTATGTCTATACCTATATCTATATAATGGACCAATCTTTATTGCCATAATCGACATGATTTTGGGCGAGAAATTTTTTCATCTATATTTGTCATTTAATTAGTATTTATTTATTAGCAAATCATATGCATAAAAAATATAATTAATTTTTATACACTCAATGAGACAATGACTATTACTCATTAACTACAAATTGACTTAAATTGTAATTTTGACTGTAAATTTATTAGATATATTTTAAGAAAGATCTTTTATTAATTTAATAGTAATTTATTAGCATAATTCAAAAAATTATTATGAAAATTGATTTGATTAAATATATTACCATCTATGACAGTAGGTATTAATTTAATTAATTATATTCACTATCAAAAGTACTTAAAATATTTAATAAAATAAGTAGAATAACTATGTTTAAATCATAATAACTTAATAAATAATCTAAAATATTAATAAAAGTTTCAAATATGTAGTCAATTTAACTATAAAAATGTACATCCCCATTGAATATATCACATGCAGTAATAATAGTATTGAAAATTTAAATAATACTAATAAAAATAAAATTTGATGGTCAGGTGCAATTCAAAATTATAAATTCCACCTTAGAAGTACCTATGTACATTAAAAACTACCCAATTTTTAAAAATATTTATTTTTTTCTTATATACTATTTTATAAATGAAAAATAAGTTAATAAAAAAGGAATGTATAAAAATTTAGATTATAGCACTTGGTAATCATGAAAATATATAATATATCAAAATATTCGAATAGATAATATGTAACTCATTATATAGGTTGAAAAAATGAATTAAAGAAATAAATATAAATAAAAATGGAAACATAAAAATAAAATATTTAACCATAAAAAAATTGTGTGTTGCATAAGGATTAAAGTCACTAAAAATTAAAGTTTGTTTATCAAAGTTTTTAACATTTAATGCACTTAATAATTCTAGTTGAAGATAAATATTATGGGTTAAACGTTGGTCAATTATCAAGCAATGTGCAAATTATAAATTGTTAAAAAAATTATAAGACTATAATAAACGACAATTTTATAAGTACATACAAATAATTTGTATGCAAATATCATATGATCTTATACATTTATAATATTTTATAAACTTATAAATAATAAAATTTATATATTAAATAGTAAAAAACTACAAAAAAATATACAAAAATAGAAATTAACAATAATAATAAATAAATAAATGTCATATTATTACTGAATAGAATATTGTGGAGAATATAATTTCATATTATCTTAAATAATTTTATAATATTTCAATAATAAATATTTTTTGTATTGCACCCGTGCATCGCACGGATATCAACACTAGTATTATTTATACTAAGGACTTAATACTAAAGCTATTTATATGGCTAGTAGTTGGAATTAAAAAAAATAATCAACAGATACATGATGAAAGACTTGTGTGCACCCCAAGACGAGTGAATATATGTTGTACGTATTAATGTGACGACATACTTAAAATTGGTTTGGTTGGACCATGTAGACTCGAAATTTATGATAATTATATTATACTCCCTCCTATTCATAATAAGTGTCGTTTTGGGAAGTTGCACACTAATTAAGAATAATTTTTTTGCCAATAATAACCCTCATTAATGAAGATAGAGATGGATGTTTTAAAAAAAAGATGAAGAGAATATGAAAAGACGTAGTATATTTATTAACTAAATGAGGGTAATAATGGAAAAATATGTACAAAAGATCCAAAACGACATTTATTTTGGTTAATAGTTGATAAAGCCAAAATGACATTTAAAAAGAATAGGAGGTAGTAATAATTTAAACTAGTCGGAAGATGAAGTAAGGTTTATTGAATATTTCGAAAAAAAATATAAACAATGATTAAAATTAATATTTAACGGCCATTAACGACATTATTGACCGAAATCCATCTTAATTTGGTACTCCAAATGAAGTAATATAAAAGTCTCGCTTTCTCTCAACGGCTCAACCTCCCTCGTGCTACGCTATTCATGGCCGCATTCAATTATATCTGTTATTAACAACACTATTCATCATTCCTCTTCAACCCTTTTATCAATCAAGTAACAAATCAAACATAAAACATATATATTTTTTTTAATAGCCTTTCTTTCCATTGTTGGGTGTTTTGCTTAAAATTGGTTATCTACATTAAAAGTTAAAAGCGAAAATGAGCAATATGGAAATAGAGATAGCTTCTCCTGGCGGTGCGGCGGATGTGGAAACAGGCGGCGGCGTGTTTCTGACGTGGGAGGATCTGACGGCGGTGCTGCCCAATTTTAGTAATGGGCCGACAAAAAGGCTGATAAATGGGCTGAGTGGTTATGCGCTTCCGGGCCGGATCATGGCGGTTATGGGCCCGTCTGGGTCCGGCAAGTCCACCTTTCTTGATTCCTTGGCAGGTACGTATTGGTGGCATGGCGCCATTTGTCTCAACTTCACCAATCACGAGGCCTATGCCCATGAAATTAAATTAATGTAATTAATTATGATTAATAGTTAATGAGGAAATTTCAAATTAATTTGCACTTTTTTAACTTAATTAATTTTGCATTATTTTTATTCCTATGGGCTATGCATATTTTTTTTTGGAACTAAAATGTCATATGATTAGTACTAAGTGTCGATTAGTTGTGGAATTAAGTCATTAACAACGTACTAATTGCTTATGTTGCAATCACCCTGTCTTATTTTATTTACTTTCTCCGACTTGCTGAGTCGTCACATGTCAAGGGTGGACACTTTTTTTCTGTTGTTTTTTTATCATTAATATATTCTTTGCCTTTATAATAATTTTGTACTATAAAACTCGGTTCATTCATAGGATCAAGCATGTAATTAATAGATTAATTAATGTTGAAGCATGTTATGCCCCTGCAACAAATTAATTATCATATTGTAATAGAAAATCTAAGGGATAAAATGTTCCAACAATATTTCAGCGAGTATAAATTTTGTTGGAATATTCGAATGATTGAAATTAATTAAAAAAACCTTGTTGGATTCAACAATTTCCAATAAAGTTTCTAATAATTTTTTTAAGAAAGAAAACATGTTATTTCAATTGATTTATTTTTTCCTGATAGTTCTAACAAATGCAAAAGGTTTAAGTTGTCATGAAAAACTGACATTTTGAAAAAAAGAAAAAAAAACAACAAGAATTAATTCTAACAAAATATTTTGGTGTTAATTTCCATTGAAAATTTTCGACAAAAGTTATTTTACAATGAAATGTAAATGAAAACTTGATTTGATTTTCATTAAAATGTTTTATCGTTAAGATATTTGATTCGAGTATAATAATCTTCTTATAACGGATAGAGTTTATCTATTGAAATCCGAATCACGGTAGCATTATTTACGGCAAGGGGTGAATTAATTGTACTGCACGACACCTCTCATCTAACATTATTAATGAAGCATTTATTTAGCAGTATGTTGATAGCTGCACTTTATAGGGTTTTATAACTTTTTATTTCTTTATGCGGAGGATTTCAAGGACATTGAGCTTGATATTTTCAGCTGTCCTTTGATCTGGTTTAAAATATACTAAGTAGAGATGTTAAATGGTCCTTGGCCCGATGGGCCGGCCCGTTTAACCCGAAAAAAAAAGGGTTAGGGCTTTTTATTGGCAGCCCGTTTAAATTTGGGCTTTTTGGGCCCGGACCGTTTAGCCGAAGCCCGCTAGGGCTAGCCCGTTTAACTTGAGTTTGGTGGTGTATATGTTTTTAGAAAGGTAATGAATATGTCTCATGATTCCTTGTATATTAATTTTGCTATTCTACTTCACATGTAATTATGAGTTATAATGTATTATTATTATTTTGATATATAAGTATTAACAAACTTTATTCTATTTCACAGCAAAATATTTAAGTCAATAAGAACGGCTACTAAAAAACAAATGAGACAAATACCTAATACATAGAATATAGTGATAGAATATATATTCGGCGTACCAAATAACTAATCAAATGGTAGTTATAAGTAATAGTTTAAACATTTTTTTTTTCTATTGAGAAACAATATGTTATTTAAGAGTTTGTAATGTGTGTTCATATATGAAGTGTAGTTGTATATTTATAGTGGTAAATACTAAATAGTCGTTGAAAAAACCGTTAACTATATATTGTAATTATTATTATTATTATTATTATTATTATTATTATTATATTATTATTATAGCCCGTATAGCCCGTTTAAGCTCGCTAGATTTAGGGTTAGGTCCTTTTATTGGTAGCCCGTTTAAATTCGGGCTTTTTAGGCCTGGACCGTTTAGCCCGAAGCCCGCTAAGGCTAGCCCGAAACCGCTAGGGCTAGCCCGTTTAACATCTCTACTACTAAGTATTCATCTTGTGCACATGCACAAAGAAAAATAAAAAATTATAATATTATATGTATGTATACAATATTTAAATTTTTATAAAGATAATGAATATGTTACATTTTAAATTTTGACGATATGTAAATGTATAATACAAATATAAATTATTTGACTTACGTATGAATCTTTATATTGATGCCATAAATTTTAATGAACAATATAATTTTGTAATTTAGAGGGACCATACAATTAATTTGTTAGAAAAGTATTATAATTATTTTTATTATTGTTATAGCAATTGTTTATGTGATTTTATGGTGTTTAATTATGACACTCATGCCAATTAACTAATATTAAATAAAAATCGCTTAAAAAAATATTTTATTTTAAAAAAAGTATTTTAAAGAAAAAAATTGCAGTAAATTTTTTTTTTATAAGTATGTAACTTACACATACTATTTAATGTAAAATTATAATCAATTAGTATATTAGTAGTAATATAATATAATAAATTAATTTAAAATTGTCATTACCCTTTATTAATGTAAAATATAACGTTTCTACATTAATTGAAAAAATGAGCAGAAATTTTTTGAAGATTTTATTAATTAAGTTTTGTTTATTGCTCTGCCAACAATTATATATATAGACGATACAACTAAAATACGGCAGAGAGTTGTTGTTAGTTAGATTTAACGGTTGGTGAAAATATTTTTTCTTATATTCATATTTTGTCCATGAGACATACTTTAAAAATTATATAAATAAAATATAAATATTTAGACATTTTTGTGGGAAAAAGATGACAGGTCGGCCAATTGTTAGGCTGTATCATACAAGAATTTGATTTGATGTGTCGAACCGCTTAACTGTTAAACTGTCTCGAACAAAAATTTGTGATAAAAATACTTTTGACTCCAACCGTATATATATTAGCAAAATCTTGCTTCGATATTTTTTTGAGTACCAGACTAAATAAAAAGAGTTATTACATACATCCACCTTTCAATTAAATGCCAAACAATATTATATATATATATATATATATAGGATGTGGTTCAAATGAGAACCAAGTCCTAGTGTGAGAACCGTGAGAACCGTGAGAACCGCTATTTTTAATTGTATGTAGTGCTATGATTAATTGTGTTTTAGTGCTATTTTTAACTAGGATGTATTTGATTAAAAATAGCAACAAAATTTTTATTAGCATTTATGAAAATGATAGCACCATGTAATATTAAAAATAGCATCATACACAATTAAAAATAGCATCAAATATGGTTCTCACGGTTCTCACACCAGACATAGTTTTTATTTGAACCAGCCCCTATATATATATTTTGTAAATTGCTTGTAAATGCGGTTACTTGTGTTATGTAATGTGAAATTGTGAACTAATGCCGAAATTGTGAAATTAACTTTTGAAAATGAGTTCCACCAGACTCGCTTGTCATTAATACAACGTATCCAACCAAATTCTTGAGGATGTTTGGTACAGAGAACATGTTCAGCTAAACATACCATTTATAGGACCGCCGGATTATATTATCAATTTTACTATAACTTATAGGGAGGATTATTAATAACATCATATAAATAGGAAATATTCGAAGTAGCGCCACACTACCAGTCGAAATAATATTAGTCACTAAGGTGATACCAATAATGTACTAAACTACTAACTATTGATGCTTGAGTTATAACTTAAAAAAAAAAAAAGGAAAATATAATTCAACTAACAGAGATAGTGCATTTCAAACTTTGAACAAAATAATTAGATTACATTTTCGTTGATATTATTCGTTTAAATATCTTTACAAAGATCTACCCTCACACATAAAGGCTGGTCTTGCCGAAATATTATTGAATTGACAATAGTAACCAACAATTTGTAAAATTTTAAGGGTTATAACTAAGGTTCAACCAAATTCGACGGAATGTATATATGTGGGAACTCGCACACTCGGCTGATGTGGACACCACGTGGCCTATATACGTGCATCCACGTGGAGTCCACATCAGCTCCGTCACAATTCCGTCAAGTTTGGTCGGATTTAGGTAATAACGACTCCCAAATTTTAAATGATCAATTCATAAAAATAGTGACTATTATTATCGCTGCTTAAAAAATATTGACTATATATTGCAACAGCGGCAAATTTACATGTTGTCCCCCCAAACTTTTCAAGTTGTACTTATGTATACATATATGCTTAATTTACAATATATATACCCCACAATTACATTATTTATTATTTAATTATTGCATTAATGAACCTATTTATTATTTTAAAACTACATTATATTTGTTTTAGATACCATTTTCATAGTATAATATTTGTTGTTTTTATTTTTTTAGTAATTTAAGGATTAACTAAATTGAATATGAGAAATGTAAATGCTTGAAAATTGGTTATTTGAAGTAGGAGAGCATGCGTGTTTTGTGATTTCATGAGATTGAATGGAAAATCACAATAAATTTTAATGCATATTTCATTGTTAGTGAATTTTATGAGTTGAAAAAATGTAGAACACAATTTTTATAGTACCAAACTTAAATGATTATGCAATTTTATAGTGAAAACTTTATTATTTGCTTTATCATCTTTTAAGTAAACTTTACTTCTATATGTACTTAATGTATTTTAATGCTACTAAAATATGTACTTCCCTCGAAATGTCATTTGAATTGAGACCAGTCAAATAATTTATATTCAAGATTGTGTTCGTCTCATTTATTAAATTAAAAAAATGTTAGGTAAAGCTCGGCTCATCTACTCCAACAGTTTTAATAAATTCCAAATTCAAATTCTTAAATCTGACTGAATTGCTTGCGAACATGACTATAAACATGATCTATATATTGTTCAAAGTCGTCTCTTTTAGGTAAGTCCGGCCTCAAAATTTCAAAAATGAAATCAAATTATATTCTTGAAATAGCTATTATCGAATAACAATTTAGTCTCTCCCAAATATTTTTTTTCTGAAACCTGCCCATGTTTTGTAGTGTAGCCTTTAAAACAATTTTACTTGTTTACTGTGTTTCTTGACCTGTATTTTGTCAATATAGTAATAAATTTTGGCTCAACGACTCTTTGCATGTGCAGTTTGACTAGAACTTCACTCACCCTAACTTTCCAGCAGCATTAGCGTCATTTGAACGTTAATTCACAACCTAGCTAGCTAAATGCCATTTTCTTCTATTTACCACTTTTTGTTTTGTTTTTTCTTACATTAACTGTGTTGTGGTAGTTGAACTATTAATTATTAATGATATCGTACAAGGTAGATATGCACAATAATAATGTCATAATAATGGCATATTAATATTATAATTAGTAATAATGTTATTAATTGTCATATACTGATTTTTTCCATTTGGAACTTGGAGCAGGTAGACTCTCGGGCAATGTGATAATGTCCGGTGATGTGCGTCTTAATGGCAGGAAAAGAAAGCTTCACCACGGCGTCGTTGTAAGCACGAGTTCTTTATTCATAAAAATAAAGAGGGAAAAAGTGAATGTATAGTACTAAATTATCGGGAAATGCTAAGGTCTCATTACGGTATCATCCCGTCAAGTGTTTTAACCGTTGGATCACATGTAGTTTGTATAAGATAGATAATCCAACGGTTTAAACACTTGACGGGATGGTACCGTAACGGGAACGTAGTCTTTCCCCTAAATTATCATATAATTTATCACTAGCAATTTTGCAGTATTTTTCAATTATATATTTAGAGTTAAATTCATTTTCCAAATAAAAAACTTGGTGATATATTCAATTTAACAAATATTCATCATGATATGTTTTTGTTAGAGCAACCTAATCATTAGCCACATATACGTTTCTTTTAACAAATATGTTTCAAGTATAACTATATATTTTGTTTCTATATATATCGGGTCCACCCACCTAATTCTAGTTCTGTTGGTTGGTTGTTGAAGCTCCCAAGAGTAGAGTTCAAAATATTCTCATATCTTCATCAGATCACCACCTTTGATGAAAAGAAATGAAGATAAATGCATATGAAATTTTTTCACTGCCAAAATTTGAAACTTTATAATTTATGTTGCACTATTATTATATATTTAGTTTATAATACAACTTTTTAATTTAATATATACAAAAAATAAAAAGTTGTATTATAAATTAAATATATACAAAAAATATGCAGTCTGATGTAGGGAAACTTACAAGAGGAAGATATTAGTGAGATTTCTAAGCATGATTTCAAATCATCTTTTGTTCATAATCAACCAAAAAAAATAACTAGAGAGAGTATTTTATACAAGTCCTTAACTCTAAACATTAACTTGTCTACCAAGGCAAGATAAATAAAAATTATTAATAATAATAATCAATGCTGCTACTACTAATAATAATATTAGTCTACATAAAAAAAAAAAAATACTAGTCTACACCACAATCCCCTCAAAATAAATTTCTGGATCCTGATCATGTGTTTGATCTTTCTTAATTTCTTTGGGTTTCTTTTTGCGTTTTCATAGGTAGTTAATCGTTGTTAAGTCCAACGTGGAAGGCAGTGTTGTACCGTGTAATTTCTCCGAGTTGGCGCTTAATACAAATTTCTATCTTTTGGTTTAAATAAAAAAGAAAAAAAACAAATATGGGTGATTTCTTTAAAACTTTGAACTATTGAGATATAATTTGCCGACACACATTCTTACATAACGCAGTCTAATATTTTTTTAGGTGAGTCGATATGTCACACCATTGTAACAAAACTATTGCATACTTATGTTATGAAATATCATATTTTGTATTTTTGTTTTTTTTTGGTTTCTTAGTGTTTGACTAATTATTAATGCGTAATAAACTTTATTGTATAATAAACCAGGCTTACGTCACCCAAGAGGACGTGATGCTGGGCACGCTCACCGTCCGAGAAACAATCGCTTACTCGGCATCCCTACGGCTCCCGAGCTACACAACAAAAACCGAGCTAGCCGAGTCTGTCGAGAGCACAATTACAGAAATGGGCCTCCAGGACTGCAGTGACCACATCATCGGCAACTGGCACCTGAGGGGCATAAGCGGCGGCGAAAAAAAGAGGCTAAGCATAGCCCTGGAGATCATAACTCACCCGAGCCTGCTCTTCCTTGACGAGCCGACTAGCGGTCTCGACAGTGCATCTGCATTTTTCGTCGTGCAGTCCTTACGAAACATTGCGTGCAAAGGCCGAACCATTGTCTCATCCATTCACCAGCCGAGTAGTGAGGTTTTCTCCCTTTTTGACGACCTTCTGCTTTTGTCATCTGGCGAGACTATCTATTTCGGGGAGGCTTGTTCGGCTGTCGAGGTATGAATCATACAATAATGCTAAGGAGCCAACAACCAATGGGACAACTCCATGTGGGGCTGTCCCACATTAGAACCATGTGGGTCAGTCCAACATAAAGCTGTCCCATTGGCTGTTGGCTCCGTAACGGAGCCAACAGTTGGTTCCTTAGCATTACTGATGAATCATATGCTAGTTAGTTAGACCTAATATTTTTTTTTTCTCTAAATGTATATATATTTACAGTTCTTTGCAGATGCGGGATTCCCGTGCCCGCACAAAAGGAACCCTTCGGATCATTTCCTTCGTTGTGTTAACTCAGATTTTGACGACGTCGCCAATACTTTGATCGGCTCCCAAAGAATATTGAAAGTGAGCTTATTAATTTGAAGTCTTTGTTGTGTGACGGATTAGATGTGATTTGATCGTTGTTGCAGGATATGAATGAGGCTTTGATGGGTTCGCAAAGGATGAAAGTGAGTAGACTATATATATGAACTTTAATTAATTCTTGTGTGCTCTGTTTGATGTATGAGAATGACGGTTGATATAATTCTTTTTCCAGGATATAGAGTTTACCACAGGTCCACTGATGGATTTGGCAACAGGGGAAATCAGAGCAAAGCTTATTCGCAAGTATCGAAACTCGAAGTTCGCGGCAAGGGCGAAAGCTAGAATCAAAGAATTCTCAACTAATGTGAGCAATTTAATTATTATATATATATATATATATACACATTCAGGAAGTGATTCTTCTTGGGTTAACTTTCTACAACTGCAGGGGGGCAATTTCGTCTTTGGGGAAATGAGCGGGAGCCAGGCCACATGGCGAATGCAACTCTCGACTCTCACGAGAAGATCATTCAAAAACATGACAAGGGACTTCGGTTACTACTGGCTGAGAATCATAGTCTTCATATTGGTGTCCGTTTGCGTAAGCTCGGTTTTCCACAATGTGGGCACAAATTCCCATGCAATCCTAGCAAGAGGAGCCTGCGGCGGCTTCGTATCTGGCTTCATGACCTTCATGACCATCGGTGGCTTCCCATCCTTCATTGAAGAAATGAAGGTGAATAAGCTTGAAAAACCACAATATATATAGACATCAAAATATTTTTAATTTTTTTTTTTTTTTTTTG